TTGAGCCCAGGAGTTGGAGGTTGCTGTGAGCTGTAATGCCACGGCACTCTACCCAGGGTGACAGCTTGAGGCTCTGTCTCAAAAAAAAAAAAAAAGACTATTTGCTCTGGTTGAAGGAGCCCCTCTATGTAAGCTGGGCCAATGGGAAATTCAGAAATTTGTAAGTGACCATTTGTCCACCTATACATGCATTTATGCATGCATGGGTCCATTCTTTATAGATCCACACATCCATCCATTGACCCACACATCCATCCGTCCATCCACCCACCCTTCCATCTTTCCACACATCCACACATCCACACATCCCCTCAACCATCCATCTATCCATCCATCCATTATCCACTCATCCATCCATCCACCCATCATACATCATCCATTCATCCATTCATTTAGCCATCCATCATTCATTCACTCACCCATCTATCCAACCACTCTTCATTTGATAAACATATTGTATTTAGGGCCTACTGAGTGATCAGTCCTAGAGGGACAAGTTGGAACACAAGAGGTCCTTGTTTTCAAGGATTTCACAGTTGTTGGTGTGAGTCTAGTAATCGATATTCAGTGGGAAGACAGCCATGAGGGAGCAGATCAATGACCTCTGGGGACACAGAGGAAGGGAGGGATTGGAAGAAGGAAGTGCTGCTCGAGCTGTGCTCTGAAGGAGGGAAGGAGTGAAAGGAAGTGGGATGGGGCAGTGGGAGCAAGTGTTCCGGTGCAGGGAACAGCCTGTACAAGGGCTGGGGTGTCCGTGAGAGTGTGCATTTTCAAGCAAGTGAAAGGTCTACATGCCTGGGACAAATGATGTGGTAGGTGGTAGTGATGGAGGACAAAGTCAAAGTTGAAGAAATAAACAGAAATTTGGCCTTCCTCCTGAGAGTGGTGGGAGGCACTGAAAGATTTGGAGAGGGAAGAGCCTTGTTTGCATTTGTGTTGGGGAAAGATCACAGCAGGTTTATGAAGGAGAGTGGGCCATAGGGAGCAGGCCTGGGCACTGAGGCTCCAGTGCAGGGCCGTGGTCCAGCAGAGATACAGAGGGAGATAGAGATGGATTCAAGCACAGCCAGGGGGCCAGGCTTGCTGAAGGACCAAATGTGGGTGTTGAGGGACAGTTCGGGGTCAGGGAGGCTCTCGGGTTTCTGATCTGAAGAACCAAATGGACTGACAACACGTTGGGAATGACAGGCTCCCCCATGAGCACACCAGGCCCTGGGGACAGGGGGGAGTGGGCCTTATTTTAGGATTACACTGGGAATACCATTTGGGACCTGCACATCTCATCCAGGCTGGCCATGATACCATCCCTAGTTCTTACCTCCCTGGGCAGGGCAGGTCAGATCCAGCTTCAATTGTCATGGACAGAGAGACGTGGATAAAATGCCCAGTCCTTATTGAGATGCTCTGGGGGACCCAGGGCAAGTCGCTGTCCATCCTGGAGCCTCTGCTGATGCTGGCATGACCTGGGAGGACACCTCTGCCCAGCCTTCCCCTCTGGTGACAACTGAAGATGATGAAGAGCCCCCACCCCAGCAACCAGGGCTCTGCTCTGCGAGTGACAGCATCCCTGGCTCCACCCCACCCCTGGACAGAAGCTGAATTGATAAGCACCTCTCCTTTTCAGGGAGAAGCACCCAGAATCCAGCTGGTTCAGGCCCTTCTGGCCAAAGTGGGTGGGGGTGTTGGTCCCCTCCAGTTGGCTTTACTCCAAGGGACCCTAGCACAGCAGCAGCCCCAGGGGCTTGGCAGGAGGGGGAGACAAGTGCACTTCCTCCCCTCAGATCCAATTCTCCTCTTGCACTCTTCCACTGATAGAGCTGGGGTCTGGCCTGCTTCCCCCCAGAGCACCCTCTCCCCTGCTGCCGCCTCCTCCGGGAGCACTCCCAATTGCCTTGTGGGACCTCCGGGTCCTAGAGTCCTCACAGCACCATAGAGTTCTTTCTAGGACCTTCTCACAGGCCCAGATGCCAGGATGCTATGTCTGGAAGGTCCCTTGGAATCCATTTCATAGCTTGGGAGAACTGAAGAGGAATAAATTCGGTTAATCCCTGGCGAGGAAACCACCCCGAAAATGTCCCTGTTCCCCACTGCCTCCCAAATAAGGCTGACAGGCATACTCGGCCCTGTGTGCCAGTCTCACAGCTCACAACAACCTCAAACTCTTGGGCTTAAGTGATTCTCCTGCCTCAGCCTCCCAAGTAGCTGGGACTACAGGCGCCCGCCACAATGCCCAGCTACTTTTTGGTTGTAGTTGTCATTGTTGTTTAGCAGGCCTGGCTGGGTTCAAACCCACCAGTCCTGGTATATGTGCTAGTGTTGGAGCCTCTGAGCTACAGGTGCCAAGCCGTCACCTAACTTTCCTTCAGTCCTGTATCTGTGTGGTCAAGCATCACTGAAAGTCTGCCAGGTCCAAGGCACTGTGCTTGGCACTGGACAGAGCAGACACATCCTGTCCCCGTGCAGCTCACTCTCTCAGTCTTACGTCCAGGCCTCTTATTCACCTCTGCACATTCCCACCTCTGCACCTCTGCCAAGCAGGGCCCTCATGTGAAATGCCCTTCCCTCCTCTCTTGCTGTGAATCCCACCTGCAAGGCCTGGCCCTCTGGCTGCCTGCTCCACCATCTTTGGGCCAGAAGCATCCTCCCCCACTCTGAGCCTTTTATGTTACCTGCACATCCCCCGTCCCTCTGAGTGCCCAGGCTTTGTTCCCCAATCCCTACACCACGGTGAGCCCCTCAAGGGCAGGGGCTGCATCTGGCCTCTGCCTGGCCGGGACCCCCTGTCCAGCCCCAAGGAGCACATATGGGCAGCTTGAGTTTGCACCTGCCTACTCCCCAGCCAGGCAGCTGCTCCAGCCCCGACCAGCTGCTGCTGCTGTGACCTGCTCTCCCGAATCAGAAGGGGAATTTAGGTCCTTCTGGGGAAAAGTTCTAAGTCTGTGGCAGAGCATAGAGGACTCAAAACCCACTCAGGGAATTTCCCCAGTACTGGGGACAGGGGCCACTTCAACCTTAACAAAGTTGCTAATCATGTCACAGAAAACTATTGGGTCGGTGGCCTCTGTGGCAGGTGGAAAAGTCACAAGAGGGTGAGCAGATGCCACTGAGCAGGGGCTGGGAGAGCACAGAGGGTCGGGGTGATGGCAGCGACAAGCTCCCTCCTGCCTTCTCCTAGGGCTGGATCCCCTAGATCTGGGGTGGAGTTGCCCTCCTCCCTGCACCCCTTCCCCACCCAGCCCGTTCTCCTCTGCAGGGGAACACTCTGGGGTGTTCCTCTTCTCCTCTGGGAAGCTGGCGTTAAGGATGTGCACAGGCAAGATGACCACCCCACTCTCTCCATGTGTGAAAGGAAGTCTATCCCAGGGACAGCTGGGGGCCAAGAAACCCTCTGGGCTGTGGTCTGAGGCGGGGATAAGGTTAGGGCTCTGGCAGCTGATGCAACCCCAAGAGAGGCAGAGAAATGCTGGCGTGAGGCCTACCAAGGGATAACCCATGCTCCTGAGACTGCTGCCATGGCGGGGCTCCCTGGGACAGCCGAGACTTCCCTCTACAGGTGATAAAAACGAGGACCCGGGTTCCTGTGAGCTACCTGAGGTCGCAGAGAGGATCCTGCCCACGGGAAGCTTCCACCATAGGCAGAGGAGGTCCCCCACCAAGGGACTGAAGCAGCCCCCGCCTCCCAAGGTGACCCTGCAAGGGTGGAGCACTCAGCCTCTCCCTGATGCTCTAGTCCCCTGTCTGGTTTCCTCTCAGGTTCCCCAGGACCGTGAGGTCCCTCTGAATGCCACTCCTGGGACAGCCTGGTTTCAACAAATAGTGGCTGTTGTTACCAGGACCATTAAAGAAAAATTTAATAACGATTCAATGGTTGGCACACAGGTGACTGTGACGGGGCTGAAAGCACCTGCACCTTGATGTGGACAGATGAGGGAGCACATCATTCTGGGTCATGCAGGGACAGGGTGAAGCCAGGCGTAGATCTCAGAGGTCATATTCAGAGTTCAGGTGCCACCCTGCCTCCAGCGCCCTGCACGTGGTACTCTCTGGACTCAGGGGAGCTGTAAGAGGATGAGGGTGATTTTCTCTGGTGGCCAGGGGTGCACTGATAGGATGCAGTGATGCTGTGGCCTGGGGTGGGCAGGGAGCCTCATGGGGGGCTCAGGGAAAGTCTGCTCGGGGCCTGGTTCCAGCTGGACCCAGACCAGATGTCCTACGAGCAGCCTTAGGGACACAGCTCTCCTGGACATGAGAAGCATCACTTCTCACCCATTCTTTCTTTCTGTTCTGCACCCTTGGGTAAAGTATCCTGTTTGGGGGAATGTGGGTTCTTAATTTGTTTGAGTTAAATAGTATTAATCATTAAAGTCCCAGTGGGCTCTGGCCTTCTGTGGTCAGTGTCCAGCCTGGGGAAGGACAGAAAGCAAAGCTGGCCTGGCTCAGCCTTTCCCAGAGTCAGGTGGAGCCTGGACCTCTGTGCAGAGTAACGCCTGTGTGCCTGTGCACAGCACTGCTGACTCCTCCCGGGACAGCCTTCCCAGCACACTGAAGCTCACCCACTGTCCAGCGAAGAGCCCAGCTGGGCCTCTGCCTGGCTGTCCATCCCTGATCTGTCCTCAACAGGGCATTGTGCAGGATGGGAGCTCGCCAGCCTCAGAGTAGGGTGTGAACCCAGTTGAGGATGAAGGCTTTTCAATTCTGCCTATAGAGGAACCAAGAAATGTCCCCTTTGAAAGGAGAAGTATGTCACTGATGTGGCCCCCGGATATATATACCCCCACCTCTGTCCCCAATTGAGTGCCCATTCTCTGGAAATCCACAAAGATTCCAAGACTGGACTTCTACTGAATCATCTCAAATTCTTTGAATTGTGCTGGTCTAGGGAAGGATGTGGAGGAGGTGACAAAGGGCGGGCCAAGACCCTCAAAAGAGGATAAATAGGTCACTGTCACACTGGGCTCTCAGTCTGTGTCACCTGAACAGAGACCACCTCCAAGGCTTCTGGCACTATGGCCTCTCTGAAGATGCTGCTCCTGGCTGCCCTCCTCCTGGGGGCTTCCCTGCAGCACGTCCACGCAGGTGAGATCAGGGGACTGGCAGTGACACTATGAGAGCAGGAGGTGGGGCACGGGGAGCACAGCAGCAACACATGTGTATGTGGGTGTTATTCACACAACACCCCCCTACTCCCACGAAGGATATGAGGGCTGGCGTACCCTCATTTATGGGGATAGGAGGGAAGAAATGGAAAGAAAATGATGGTGGCGACAAGGATGTGGCTGCCTCAGCACTTGGGGGATCAGCCAGATGAGGCAACCTGTGATGCATCTCAGAGCACAGCAGCTACAGGCTGTGGTTGTGGTTTTCTGGCAGAAAATGAATGATTCTCAAAATGATTTGTTAGCTTCTGTTTCATTAATGGGTTTTCTGTACAAGGAGAGAATCAGCATAGAGGCAGGAGGACGGCTTGCAAGAGCACGTGGAAAAAGACGTTTTTTCTATTAAGTTGGGAGAGAAAAGCCGAAATACGGTTGCTGGTTAGAGACACACTCGCAGGTGCATGCAGGACTGTCCCTCAGACACACAGACGTGCACTTGTGGCCACACACAGATAAATGCACAGACAAGTACACACAGACACACACACATTAACTTGGAGACACACAGTGACATATGCAGGCCCCACACAGAAACACACTCCCAGGCGCCCCCGACATACACACACACACAGAGATCGTACAGTGATACACACAGCAGTCAGCACATGCAGATGCACGTGTGTGCGCACACGCACAGACCCTCTGCAGACACCTGCCAGCCGCAGTCACTCAAGGACACCCTCCCCATGCTTTCTCTCTGCAGCTCGAGCCACCAATGTGGGCCGGGAGTGCTGCCTGGAGTACTTCAATAGCGCCATTCCCATCAGAAAGCTGGTGGACTGGTACAAGACTTCACCGGAGTGTCCCAAGAAAGCCATCGTGTAAGTCCCATACCTGTGGGAGCTGAGCATGGGGTCAGGCGGACCCAGGAGCTCCCAGGATGGCCTCAGAGGAGGGGGGAGACAGAGCTGGGCCTTCCCCATGACCACTGGCCAGCTCCTCGGGGCAGTCCCTGCAGCCCACACCATGGAACCTTAAAGGGCTACAGGCCGTGAGAGCCAATGAGTGTCTTCATTGACCTGAGGTGAAACCAAGGCCTTGAGAGAATGAGGCACCCCTGGTTACACAGCCAGTCGGCAGTGAGGTGGCCACTTCCTCCAGCCTGGGCCCAAGAGCTCCAAGGGCCAGGCCCTTCCCACAGCCTTTGCCTCCCAGCCTGTAGGTGGGCTGGGGGCATAGGCAGTCTGAGGGGTGGGCAAAAGTTCTGCAACCCTGGCTCCCTGGGAGGGTCAAGATCACCGAGGTCAGAGCCTGATGTTCCAGATCGGCCACTGATACCCTGTGTGACTTTAGGGATGTTCCTGCCCCTCTCAGGGCCTCAAGGTCCTGGTCAGGACAGGACATCCCTTTCCTGACACCCCCTGTTTCCTCCCTCTGTAGGTTTATAACCATCCAGGACAGGTACATCTGCTCAAACCCTGATGATAGGAAGGTGAAGAGGGCAGTTAAACACCTGCAAAACCGCTCTGCGTCCCGCCGCTCCACCACCCATTTGTCCTGATTCTCCGCCCCAGGCCATAGAGACTTCCAGCTCTGGTGTTCTCTACACCTCTCTGAGCTGCCTGGGTCGGAGGCCCCACCAGGACAGAGGAGCCGCAGCAAGGACAACCCAGCCCCTTTCTGAACAGAGCCACGGGCATTCGAAAGCCCTGATTAAAGTCCTTTTCCCTCAGGCGGGTCAGCGTGTTCTGTCCTCCTGGTGTGGGATGCCCTTCCACTCTCCACTGTCACATGGGACAAGTCCTCAGAGAACATCTGGACCTGCCCTGTGTAGGTCAGAAAGTGACACTGAGGCTGACAGGGGGACCTGGCTGTCACAGACCATGCCCTAGTAAGGGGAGGCCCTTGGGGGGAGGCCCAGGCCGGGTCTGGGTTGCCAGGGTCCCAGGATGCACAGGGCAGGGCAGGGCAGGCAGGGTGACCAGAGCCTCAGCAGGACCAACCCACGGGCTGGCTGCCCTGTCCCTATCCTCCCTTCTGCCACACACTGGTAGGGTTTCCTTGGGTCAGGCCAGCTGAATCCTCTCCACTTCTCTGCTCTCCAGTTTCCCCCAAGACTGGCCCCTAATCTTGCCCAATGTGGAGCTGAGCATCTGCTTCCCCTTGCACGTTGGATTCAATTCCACAAATGTTTCCAGGACCCTTACAGAGGCCAGAGGTCCCTCGCCCTCCTCCCACCTCGCCGGCATCCTTTCCCACCTGAGACTCTAAGGCTTCTAGGGCTGGGCCGGTTCTTCAGGGCTGGAGTCTGCTCCTCCCTCTTCAGCCCCAGGTGACCTCAGATCTCCCCTAGCTCTTAAGGACTGTGGTACTGCCCATTCACAGTGCCAGGTGTTTCTCTCACTGATTCCCATATGTGTCCGACACCACCATTAGATCGGGAACTCCATGCACAACTCTAGGGAACTCTCAGCTCACAGGGACAGGAGGCTCTGGATCCCACCCCACAGCCCGGATCCTTCTGCCCAGGCCCAGCTCAAGGCTGGAGCCACAGTGTGTGGTGGGGGACAGTCAGTGTCTTCATGTTCTAGTTTCTATCTTACGCCCCTGGTCAGCACTGGGTTCGTGGCTTCTCTGGGACAAAGTCTAGGGGACTTTGGGGAGGTCTGGAGGCTGGGGCATGGGGCCCTTTTACTCAGAGGATTCAGTGCCCAGCGTTGCTGGCTGCAGGCAGGAGGGTAATTGTCGGGAGAGGCTTTTGCTTCCTTCTGCCCCCTTGTGGCCAGTTGTCTTTACTGCAGGGCAGATGGCAGAAGCCAAGTCTCTTCTCAGTAGGGGTATGAGGACAAAACAAGAACAGTAGTAATGAGGGGGTTGGTGCTGGTGACTCCAGGTTCTGCTTGAGACAGGTGGACCCTTTACCTGACCCAGTGGAATATCCCTTGAACAACTGCTCCAGCCCCAGAGTGCTGAGGGTAGCCCAGCCTGAGTTCTTTATGGAAAAATGTCCTCTGGGTGTCAACAGGGTGGTGGAAGGGTGATCTAAAAGTGATGTAGGGTAGGGCAGGAAGATCCCCTATGGCAGCCAAGGCCCACGAGGCAGAGGCCCAGAGCCCTGCACCCTGCCACTCAGAACTGGAAGGACTCTCAGGGTATGTGTGACACCAGGCATGGCAAAATTTTCTTTAAAAAAAGCAAGACTTTCCTCAGAAACCCATATGGTGAATCAGATGAGTAGAGGTGGTTTGGAGGGCTGTGAGGAGGTGGGGAGTTGCCAACAGGCCCCTAAGAAGTGCGAGGTCAGGGGGGTTGCTGGAGGGGTTGTATGGAAGAGGTGGACCCAGGATCGACAATAAAATGCAGGATTCAGAATCCAAGTGTTCCATAGCAGCATCAGGGTGCAAAGAGGGTGGGATCCAATGCGAGAGATGGGACAGGACAGCTACCATGGCCCCCTGGGACATTATAAGGAACTGTGACTTGGAGAACAGGGAGGGAGGGAGGGAGAGACAGGTGAATGGTGAGGAAGGGTGCCGGTCTGACCTTGCTCTTGCTACCTGGAAGGGACTTTCCCTCCTCCACTTCTGAACTCCAGGTGGCCTTCAGAGCTCAGCTCAAATGCCACTGCCAGGAGGTCCTCCCTGCTCCTCTTGGTTGCATCTGCTCCCCCATTCAGAGCCTCTTCCCGTCCCCCAGCTCCCAGCTCTCCTTACAGTGTAAGGTAGATGGATTGCCTGAGCTCAGGGGTTCAGAGACCAGCCTGAGCAAGAGCAAGACTAAAAATAGAAAAATAAAAAAAGCCTAGCTAGGCATTGTGGCAGGTACCTGTAGTCTCAGCTAGTTGGGAGGCTGAGGCAAGGGGATTGCCGGAGCCTGGGAGTTTGAGGTTGCTGTGAGAGCTGTGACACCACAGCACTCTACTTAGAGCAACCGAGTGAGGCTGTCTCAGAAAAAAAAAAAAAAAAAAAAAAAATTAATTCCCCAGCTCCACCTCAGACCTACTGACTGCAAATGTGCATTGGTACTTTTTTCTTTTATAGAGACAGAGTCTCACTTTATCACCCTCAGTAGAGTGCTGTGGTGTCACAGCTCACAGCAACCTCCAGGGAACTCCTGGGCCCAGGGAATTCTCTTGCCTCAGCCTCCCGAGCAGCTTGGACCACAGGCTCCTGCCACAACACCCAGCCATTTTTTGTTGCAGTTTGGCCAGGGCCAGGTTTGAACCTACC